GTTTTTCCTCTTCTTTTATCACTCTCCTTTTTGCTCTTCTTTGCCTCCTCACACAGAGGAGCTCCTTTTCTTTTGCTAGGCTGTTTTTCACTTGTCTCCAAACTTTGTCCGTCTGCCATTGTGCTCGTGACTCAACTATCTCATGCCCAACTCCTCATAAGGACCAGCTCCAGTCCCTGATTGGCTGACCGACCAGTTTAGCAATACATGACGCGTTTCCTGCCGTAAAGAAATTTTTTTCTGCGAAATTTCGGCACCGGTGGCAGAAGCTTATTGCACAGCCACTAAGTAACCTATGAAACACAGATTTTACTGTGGCCACCACCCTGTGCAACCCACATTATTTTCATAATGATATATTTAGGAAAAGATGCTATCTGTTGCTTCTTTAACTTTTCGTTCTTGTCCCACCGCGTGTCCCCCTTACCAACATGGCAAGAGAGCACTACACATTCCAACTTAGGGGTACGGCAACTTCCCTTCATTGTTGAGCACGAGGCACTCACTCTCTCTTGTGTATCACTCATACCTGTCCCCACAAAACAAGGGGCAATAAGCTCATGACCAAGGGAACACGATGACTCCACTTAAACACTGCACATAAAAATACAAATGAAACAAGATTCAAAGTACTATACATGACAATGAAATAATTCACCACTAACTCAATAATGCTGAATCTGTTACTACTTAAATATAAATAATGTACCCATTAATAAAAAACACTTAAGTCATAAAAATAACCCAAAGTTATAGTGTGTGCAGTCATTGTCATGTCTTGCTATCAGTGCCTACATTGTCAAACAGTGAACAGTTTTTTTCTGAGTTGCACTTTTTATTTTTCTGCCAGTGTTCAGCAGTCACAGTGAGAAATCAGCTGCAGACGAGACACAGTTAGAGTCTAATTACTACGTTCACGGCAGCAGGAAAACAGACCAGAAAACAGTGCGTACAACTCTCACTTTGTATATACGAGGAGAATATGTTCATACATTACAACAGATAAACAGAAAAGTAAGACTTTCAGGGGGGAAACTTCAGCTGAGTAGAGCAGTAGGTGGAGGAGAAGGTGGGGGTCGTTGTTTCCAAGCCACGTCTCTGGAGTCCCCCATAATCACTGGCTAATGACGAGCTTCCTTTCAGAGGGGAGATTATCTCCACATGACATCTCCATCTCTGTTGATCCGTCTCAAATTTAGACACGGGATTGGGATTTGACACATGACAAGACAGTAAGAAAAAAACAGAAGATCTCTGTGGGAAAGACAGGAATTAGTCTGAGTGGGTGGAAGTTTGCTGCATAGATCAGCCTCTCATTGGGTGGAATGAGCCACCCGCTGAAGTCCCGCCCACCACCTCTGGTTGCAGTTTTCAACACGTCCTTTACTAACTTTTGCAGTGTTTGATCTTGCGGGGATGTAGCCATTTTTCTGCCATGATTCGCATCCTGTAGACGATATTTTTGTGGGCGTGTTACACCAAAACCTGTTTCGTCCCAGCAATATTTTTGCAAGTGCACCGTTGCTGTGGCATCGCCAAGAACAATTGTGATTGGTTGAAAGAAATACAAGCAGCCGGGGCGTTTTTTTCTCCAATCTTAAAATGAGAGTCGGCCCAGCCAGACCTTTCTTTTCTTGAGAAAGGTCTGGTGAGCGAGACTAGACGGGAATTGACATCTGAAATTCCCCCTGTGGATGACAGGAAACTGGGTGACAACTTCCTCCTTCTTCTGCTGGTACGACGTTCAGGAGAACATATAACACCATAAAAAGACCTTTAAAAGCACTGTGGGGTGAAAAATATATAATTGCTAATGGTCTGAGTTGCTGTCAAGGTTTCAGCATCACCAAGTCATTAGTGCGGTGTTCACACTTTAAACAGATGTATTTCACACATTCATGGGTCTAATTTTATTTTATTCACTGCTGCCACGGCACAGCTGCAGCAGATCATAGAGATGAATCAGGAACTTAGAAAATACTAGATTTTCCTTATTCAAACAAATATGGATTTCCAAGTTTGTCCAACATGGTTTGAATCATTTTCCTGAGAGTAAACGTTGGAAATAAAGGCATGTCATTAGGGCTGTCAGCGTTAACGCTTTATTCGCAATGCCCTCATGGTCTGAACATAACAGAAAATAAGACACTGAACTTTTGAACGGCTCCTTTGACTTTACAAAAGTCCCAGTTGACAAGTCAAAAGTAATCTGCACCTTGTGTCAAATGTAATTAAAATATAACTACGGTGCTTTAGTTTGAGCTAACACCTATGAACTGAGCACACAGGTGTGGCTAGTCAGACTGATGTCATCACCAAAGCTGGCAAAGCATTATTTCGGAGTGAGCGAATCACCACAGACCTTCACTACAGTTCACTACAGTGCTGATAATGTGTGGAAACTGACTGCAGACCTGCATTTTAAGTCGTGTGTGATTTATCCTGGCTTCATGTCAGTAGAGAAAAACTCCTCTAGCTGCTAATTTATACCACATAAAATACCATAGGCTTGTGCTAATAACTTTAGCATGTTGTGTTTGTGAGGAAAACGTGTCTTGTAAGAGAGAATGAAATTGGCGGTGAACCTTGTGAGTTGTAGTTGAGCCAAATTTTGTAACATTAGCTTTGTTAAATGTTGCTGTTGTTCCTAGCTGTATATGATCGGAGGAAAACTCTGCTAGACATTAGGCTAATTTATACAATGTAAAATGCTGTGATGTTAGCATGCTGTATTTGTGGGGAAAATGTGTCCAGCAAAAGACAAATGTTTTATCTGTGAATCCTGGGAGTCATAATATAGATGATTTGTGTACCTGTCTCTATTAAGCCATGTATACTGCAGAGTGACACAGACACACCACCACACAAGTATAAATGTATTAAGAGGACGTCTTTAGGTTTGCATGGTGTAAACAACGGCACTTTCTCATCTGGAACAATGTAATCCTTTAAAAAATCAAACAAATAAACACTGATTTCACAGAAGAAGAACTCTGAAGTCTTCTCTGATTTCTAAGTCATGTTTCTAAGACCTCACTGTTGTGGCAGTGCAGCAGTAATTTGAAATAAATAAATCTTAAAGTCAAGATCATAAAATAAACTTATTTGCATTCATTTGATTCCCACTTAAGACACTCCGGTAAGAATTGCTTCGTCTTGTTAAAATGGACATCAAAACTGTTTTGAAATGCAAAATAATGGAATTTTAAATGTGCGATTAAAAATGTTATTCATCTTGATTTTATAAATGATCATTTGACTGCCCTACATGTTCTTTATTTAAGCTAAAAACACTATAATGCGGTTTATTATTTATTTTCAGGTGTTGCAAGTCACGTGGGGAAAACAACACATCCCTGAAGTCACCACGCGGTTATACGCTCTCATTGTAACCAGCGAATGTTGATCGTGCAACATTTGACCCAAATAGGGACTTAATAACCTCATTCTGGATGACCAGGCTGGATCAGCGTCCGTTAATCCTGAACGCCACATCTGGGAGCTGAGAGGGCCCCATATCCTCGCTCTGCTTTTCTGGGATAAACAGACCGAGAACTGAGAGATTTGAACTCTGAGCATCGACTCTGTGTAAGATTAACACGGGGCTTTGGGTTTGAGTCCTCTGCTGTTTGGGTCCTGTTATTAAACATGTAATGTCGTCAAATTAAATGACCTGAAATATGAGTGTGTATATTGTCAGAGATTTTCAGAGCACCTCCACTGTCAGACTGTGAGGGTTCATTTTGTGCAGAGAGCAGAATGTGTAGCTTTAATGGCTTTTGACAGGGGGTGCCAAACTCCTTTATTTGAAGGAGCTCGACCACGTTAGACCTCATCGGATGAGACTCCTGTCAGTGTAAGATTATGTGATAGGTTTGAGTTTCTGTAAAAGCACACAGGAAGAAAGGCCGTTAGCTCTTTGAATAAGACACTTATTGTCTCAGTGTGATGACTTACTGAGCTGGAATCAGTGAAACTACTCAAATCATCAGAAAAAATATGACACTTGTGTACGCTTAAAGAAAACTGTGCAGGATTTTACTAAAACATAATGTATATATTATGACCCTCTCTCGTTCGTGGTGTTTATGGGCGTGTGCCCCCACAGTGCTCAGGTGAAGTCAGGGCTTTATAAAAAGGTAGTGACCAGACGACAGACCACGAGCAGCAGCAGGCATCCATGAGTCACAACACCAAAGAAACAAATATAGATGTGGTACAGACTGTGGGTAATACATACTCCACACTACAGGTACTGCACACCTGCAGTGTTCTCTCATACAGACGTGTTGGCAACGCTGCGGGATGAGTAGCGCTCCAAAAAATGTCCCTATCTAGATCAAGTGTTTGGTTTGTCTCTTCTGGGCTACTGTAGAAGCATGACTGTGCAACATGGCGGCCTCTTTAGAGGAGGACCCACTCCCTATGTAAATATGAACGTCTCATTCTGAGGTTACGAAAACACAGTGATTCTCATTATCAGGTGATCAAACACTAAAGAAAACATACTTATTATATCCTACATATCCTGAATCCTACACACTGGAGCTTTAAAATAAAAACTGGGTGAGACAAGTGACCTCCAAATGCAGCTAGAGGCTCATTGGTGTTAACTGTGGGACTTGTAGTTTGTTTGGAGACAGGAGACAGATTATTTACGGACATTTCACTGAGACATGAGTTAATTTTCTGGGGTCATGAAATAATACATAGAATTAGTGAGGTGAGGTGATTTATAAAAAGTGTGTCTTCAGTAAAATGATCCAAAATGTGTTTTAAATTATTATTTTTATTTACTTATTTTAAATATCTTTATTCACCTTTGTGATTTTATCAGTGCACGGGTCCCTGGAGGTGCCCGAGCCCCAGTTTGGGAACCACCCACTGGCTTATTTTATAGCTTCAGAGCCCGACAAATGCTGTTGTCAATCAACTGTGTCAGGACGCACCTCCTTTCCAGTTGGGAGCGCACCGGGGCTTCGCATCTGGATTTTTACGCGTCGGTCGGTCGGTCCACGCCCACTAGACTGCCCGCTCCCCCCGCTGCGGCCCGCACACACTCGGCTCAGGGCTTCTGACGGAGGAGACCTGTCGTCCTCTCCCCCACCTTTCACAGCTCCTTCACTTTGTCAAACCTCTCTCTTTTCCTTTCAATGGCCGTGCGTGGCGTGATTTGCACTCAGCAGCGCAATAGTTAATGAGTGCCGGATGCGCCCTCACTCCAGCAGACCGCTACAGTACGAAGATGGCGTCGGAGGGAGCCAGCGGAGAGCAGCCTCCTCCGGTACAAACACTGGCAACCGCCGTGCTGGGAAGTGTCGACACGGTAAGACGTGAATGTTGAACCGGGGAAAGTGAAGCAGCGCGGGGCTGTTTTCAGCGGGGTGGTTGTTGGAGGAGTCGCGGCTGGAGAGACGGAGAAAATGCGGTGCGCATCTATTTCGCACAGGCTCGTGAAGCAACAGCGGTGGGCAGCGGGAGACTCGCGACAATGTCTGGAGAAAAACAAGGAGATCGTGCTCGGTGTGAGGAGATAAATGAGCCTGACGTGTTTTACAACAGGCGCAATGTGGTGTTTTCTTTACTGTGAACGTTACAGTGAATTCTTTTGTTCGCCTGTGCCGCTGCTCCAACATTCATCCCGCTGCTGTAACGTTATCCTGCGGCTCTGTCTGCTCAGGTTGTTGCTCAGATATCTCTCAGTAAATGGGTTAATACGCAGAGACTTAAAGAGAGCTGTTTCTCTCATGTTAAATCTGACATTAGAGGCTTTTTATCTGGATTGGTTTCCTGAAAACATTTTATTCCACCTTCTTTATTCCCAGGAGGAGGTGATATATATTCACCTGGCTGTGGGCTGATTGTGGCAAGGAAATGGTTATTTACTGAAGTGGTCCTCTATAAATCAGTCCTACATGGAGCCTCACAGGCTTCCATAGCTTGTACCAGCTCACCTTACAGAGCTGTGAGTCCCTCCGCACTCATCCCCAGACCAGATGACTCAAGGCATTTCTTTTAAAGTAGTCATTTTGTTGTTGACACACACATAGTTGTGATTTGTCACAGGTTGCAGCAGCAGCATGTGAGCCGGGGCAGTGGCTCGCCATCCCTCTGTGCACACTGATCAATCTGTTGCCCCGGCTGCCGGGATGTCATGAAACCTTTCCCTCCCCTCTGCTGGATCCATGATGCAACCTGTCAGACTGCTGCTATCGACCTGACAGTGGATACAAAATGGGCAGCGACGCTTCTGCCACTTGTTTGTGTTTTCTTGAACTCTGAGCAGCAAGTCCAGAAAAGTGAAATAAGCACCTCTGTGGACGTGGGATTGAAGAGGTAGGCCGGTGGAGATGAGTGGCGGTGCTGGAATAGAAAGCAGCCACGGTCCCTGAGGTGGGTGGGTGGTAGCGTGGGTGTTGAGGTGGGGGTGGGCTTGAGCGGTGAGCTGAGGAGATGGTTGAAGAAGAGCTGCAGGGGGTGGATGGAAGGCAGAGGCAGCACGGTGGTGGTAGTGGAGGAGGAGGAGGAGGAGGAGGGGGGTGGAGGCCCTGTTCACCAGACACCTTTCTAAATTGGTCTTAATTTCAGTGACTCAGCTGGCATAGCTGGGAGTACCGTGTCAGCCAGCCCCCCCCCCTCTCCTGAGCGCGCTCAGAACTGCCTCGAGGCTGCTTTACATTTAGTGTTGAGGTGAACAGGTGCTTCAGAGACATGGGAGCCGGGCAGCCTCCTCAGCTCACCCGTCGCTCTGCCAGCACACTCTTCCTTCTCCAGGCTGCAGCCAACGAAAGAGGGCTTCCGCCTTCATGCCCTCCCACTGTCACCCCCCACCCCCACCCACACCCCCACCCCCCACCGCCGCCACCATCATGCCTGCCGTGGTTAAATAAAGCACTTTGCTCTTTGCTCACCCCGTCAGACTCTGTGTTGTTGGCCCAAAGTGGGGGGAAGTTTCTTGTTTGTGAGGAGTGTGAAGGACCGGCCCTTATGGTCCACAGAGGGGTCAAAGGTCAGCGAAAGGCACTCGGCTGGTCACCTCCCACTCGTTTACCTCAGGACATTTTAGTGTGGTGCATGCTGAAGTTAAAGGGACACATTCTGTAGATAATGAGTTTTGGTGAGAGCGCCGGATGTGGCACGAGTCCAAGAAACACGAGCGGTCAGATGATGAAGACGTTTATTTGGTTTAACGTTCAATGTTTGCAAATAACTAATGGCTAAAATAGCTCCTGTAACTCAAAGCTGTCTAATCACCTGTTGTTGGCCGAGAGAAGGCCCAAACAGTTTGAGCCTAATTAAAGGGGTTGTTGGATATATTACAGTGGGGCTGCTTGAGGTACTTCGTATAAAGTCAGCGTGTGACATATGGTAGATGTGAGTCAGCACATCCCCAGTTTGGAGAAGCAGGCCTGAGTACTGTCACTGAATCTAAGTAGTGTACTGCTCTGGGCGGGGGCAGCGGCAAAACGTATTTTTTCCACCTAAAAAAATCAGTATCCATTTGTTTGTGTGCTATATTTAGAACATTTTCACTGCTTTACCTTACTGTCTGACAGTGATTTCTGTCGGGGAACTGAAGATGCTTTATCGCTCTCTTCAAAATAGTAATAATACATTTTATTTATAAGTGCCTCTCAGGAAACTCACGGCCACCTTACAGGCAAAGATAGAAAATAACAGCTGATTGAAAGAAGTCAACGAGATGAGGAATAAAGTAACATAACAAATAAATAATCAGCAAAACAAATTCACAGTGAACAAAATTTAGTCTAGATAGCGTGTGTGTGTGTGGGTAGATGGACGGGAGTCAAACTGAATAGGCTGTTTGAAAGAGATGAGTTTTGAGGCAGGATTTAAAAGTGGAGAGAGTTGATGTTACGAATGTCCAGTGGGAGGAAGTTCCAGAGGCGGGGGCAGGGCGGCTGAATGCAGTAGACCCCATGGAGGTCAGGCGGGCTGGTGAAGACCTGACAGTGCGGGTGGAGGTGTGGATGAGCAAGAGTTCGGAGAGGTACAGAGGTGCTATGTTGAGGATGGCCTTGAAGGTGAGGAGTAAGATCTTAAAGTCATCGCTGTGTTGAACAGGGAGCCAGTGAAGCTGCTGAAGGACAGGAGTGATGTGAATTGACCTATGGCTAAGCCACGCCCCCTCCACTCACTCGGACAAACTTTCAACATTCAGTGAGCGGCACTATGGCAGGTGTCACAGTACACGGCATTTCACAGGAGGCAACTGATGATTCACCCTCAAAGACAACAAGTTAAAGTGCCACTGAAGTTAAGGTTTTTGGCTCAGAATATGAGAAAAGGATAACGGCCTTTTTACCATCTTTACCAAGAGTGTCTCTCCATTAGTTTGGTGATACAGTATTTACACTGAATCATTCAGCATAACGTTTGCCAACCTTTGTTATCTCTGCCATTACAGATAAGTTAATGAAGCTAAGCTCCAGAAGTTAACGTTAGCTTAACTAGAGCCCTTTGGACAACAGCTAACAATGATGTACGATCACCAAAGTACAAAACTAGAACAAAATAGGCTAATGAACTCCCAGCAAACAAGGTGACATGATGAACAACGCAGCTAGGAGCTAACGTTAGGCTAACTTTAGCTAACGTTAGCTAGAGATGTTAAAGATAACTTTATATTTCTTTCCAGCAAAGTGACAATATGTTGCCTCAAACACAATGTTGACTTACCTTAGAACAGATGTAGACATCATTGTTAATCTTATTCACGTTGAGTTGATGTTGTGGTCTAACGTTACCACACAACTTTATCCAAAGGAGACACTTTTCTCGGTTGAGCTGTGGTTTAAAGTGTAAAAAATACACCTGGTAGCCCAGCCTCTCAGGATACCTTGTGTCAGAGTTGCATGTACCCCATGCACACCGTTTGACCATTTTTAAACTTCAAATCTTAGAAAAAGCTCATAAAACCGAACAAAACTGACTTTCTGTAATGCATTTCAATGGACGTCCAGGCAGAGAATGTCCGAGTGTATGGGAATGGCTATACGCACTGTGATTGGCTCATCACGTCTGAGGGCGGGACTTAGCCATAGGTCAGTTGTGGAGGGAGTTCTGGTGGTGATGCGAGCGGCAGGGTTCTGGACCAGCGCGGTGGCGGTGGCGGACTCCGGGGTTTTTTCAGACCTAATTGTATTGCGGAGAAGTTGTAGGAAGCCTCTGCAAGTAATTGGTTGCTGGCAGACACTCTGTGCTGCAATAAAATGGTTAATCAGCAGTGCCGTGCACTGTAGAGCCGATGCGCTGCTGGTTCTGACGGCCTGAATAGAATATAATGTCTATAGCCTTACTGTTGTGTGTACAGCCTTATAGACTGAGCTGAGTAGTGATGCGCGGGTCGACCCGTAACCCGCAGGACCCACAAATGGACCTGCGGGTCGGGCAGCAGGTACTGATGTGTTGAGCAGGTGACAGTCCGCGGTCGTTTTCAAAACACACTTGTGTCACGCACTCCAAAAGAAACTTGTTGAAACTTTAAACAATAATTTATTGTACAAAACGGGGGAAACAAACGTTGACAAAAACGGTTCCATAATTCATATTAAATTCAAAAGATAACGATAAAACAGCTACAAGTTAGAGGGAATAGTGATAAAGTGGTAAAACTTGGCATTGATCCACAGCCTCAGACGGATGCGCTCAAGCGTGCCATGCGCACAAGCTTCATTGGTAGGCTATACTATATTTTCACATTTTTAACAATGCAATATAAAAGTTTTGATTTTTATTGATAACCTACATTTACCAACAACAAAAAGACTACATTTAGCACCAAAACAATGTAAATAAATAAATAAATAAGTAAATAAAAAAATTAATATCGAATACCAAATTTTCATAATGAATACCTACCCATAGAAACGAATATTCGAATATCCGAATATTTGGGTACAGCCCTACTGCTGCCGCAGCTTTTAATTTCTGTGTTGTACTCCGCCTGCTTCTTCAAACTGGGGGCGTGCCGACCGCCATCTTCTTCATGTAATGCACTGACTATGGAGTACCTGAAACAAAGAAGTGAAGTGATCAGCTGATGATTATTTCAGCTCTTGGTTTGTCCCAGCTGAACTACAGAAACAGTCCATTCACAGCTCTGCATTGATGTGACGCATCTTTTCACTCACTAACAGTCTTTGTCTGAACACAGACACCAGCTGCAGAGAACACATTAACCAGAGAGCAGACAAACTTTTCATTTTCAGCCATTACTGAATTAATGTTAATTATCTACAGTTGATCTAATCTGCTGCTGCTGATGTCTGTCATCTTACCCAGCGACAGCTACAAAGGAGAAGA